TACACAGTAATCCCTCTTTCTGTAATATTCTTTCCCTTTTTTTGTTCCCACCTGAGAATATTTTTGCACTCATCTTAATATTTCCTTAACTGGTTGCATTCATGTCTCCAATTCATTGCTAGAATTCTGCCACCTGATTGTGCTGCTGGACTGACTTCCTAAAGAACAGAAATGTTTCCATCTCCATCTGTCTGTATTGCACTGTGGAACAAGGTGCAGGCATGTGGTGTAGTACTAACAGTGCTGAGTGGATAGAAAGGTTTAAAATAAGGTTTTGTATCTTTTCACCTTAAAATCAGCAGGAGATATTCACAAAGAACAACTTGGCACAGCAAGTGTTTTCATGATGCCAATAGCAACATTTTCTAACTGCTTACAAAAATGCAGCATTAAATTAAAAAGGGAAAGTGAACCTGTTTTTATTTATAGTTAAATCTATAATAGTAGAAAGTAGGCTGTATTTTCATAATATAGGTAATGGAGCAAATAGAATACAGGCAAGTGCTACTTTAGTCCACTCATCTTCAGACGTTTTTCTTGTGTATATCCAGTAAGTAATTTTTACACTGATTGTGCATTATTTCATCTAGTCCTTGGAGTTTATACCATCACAGAGCTGAATAGGACCTACACTGTTTGTTGCTGTTGTTGTGTGGTACTGGAGGTTGAGGCCAGGGCCTTGAACATAGGTAAGCATTCTACCATTGAGCCACATGCCCAGCCAGGAATTAAACATTTAATGTTGTTATTGATATCCATTCACATTCTGACTGATTTTCTCTTTGGTCTGTTACTGAGTACTAAGAATCTTTTTTGTGTGTATGTGGTAATGGGGATAGAGTTATCTAGGGCCTTCCACATGCTAGATAAACATGTTGCCATTGAGCTGTATCTGTAACCCTCTTTTCACCTTTTATTTTGAGATAGAGTTGCACTTTGTTACCCAGGCCAGCTTTGAACTTGCCATCCTCCTGCCTCAGCTGGGTTTGCAGGCCTGTACCACAAGGCCAGGCTTGTTGTACCTTGATAGGAATTGATGACTTGTATCTTGGTGAGGAATTGGCAACTTTGTCATTACAAAATTTGTTTAGCAGTCTATTGTGTCCATGTTAATATAGCCATGCCATTTTGTTACTCTTTTCATATACTTTTGCCTTTATATTTTTAGTGAGTTTTCTTATTAGCAACATATAATTGAACTTTGTTTTTTAAATAGTTTGACATCTCTACCTTTTAATTGTAATTGTGACTTAATTTTTCTTTTGCTCTCCCTACTTACTTTCTACGGCTACTTTTTTTTGTTTTGTTTTTTTATTTATTTTTTATTTTTTTTTTGAGACAGGGTTTCCCTGTAGCCCCAGCTGTCCTGGAACTCACTATATAGACCAAGCTGGCCTTGAACTCACAGAGATCCTCTTGCCTCTGCCTCCCAAGTGCTGGGATTAAAGGTGTGCGCCACCATGCCCGGCTCTATGGCTACTTTTTTTCCCCCCCTCAAATATAACTAATTAAAAAAATTTTTTTTTGTGCACGTATATCATCTAGAACATCCCAACAATCTTATTCATCTATATACCCACTTCCCAGATGGCACCCTCCCATAGCCTCCCTTCCCCCAACTAGAGCCCTTACACTCTGATATCCCTGCTGCTTTCTGCTGTGTTGTCGGCATCCCCAGCCACACCCCACTACTTGCCCATCTGGTAAATCTAGTCAGCCTGCCTAGAGGTCTTTGTTTTAAGAAGGTCAGCTGTTCCTCATCTAGTAGCAATCAGTTGTCAACATTCCTTTAGATAAGATTAGGGTCTGCTGTTCATTTTCCCATTTCTATGCTGGGAGTCTCTTGGGCCACCCTGGCTAATAACTCAAAAGAAGGTATCTCCTATCTGGCATTTTTTCTTGTTATGTAGCCTTTAGCTATCCATAGACATATGGACTCTTAAAAAATTATATTGGCCCCTTTAATCTTTGGTTATACTTTCCTTTTGGGTGTTTAAGGCCATACAGTTGGCCCAGATAAACCAATTTATTTTTACTCTTAAGGCTGTTTGAGGATCTGTTCCTCAGGGGTCACATGGGCTTGGAAGGAGCCCCTGGCTCCTTTCTATGGCTACTTTTAAGTCCCTGATTTTGTATTTTTTGGTGAGATAGTTCTAGGCATGCTTTCCTTTGTATTTATTCTTTCTTGGGGTTTACTAATTTGTATAGTTTAATAGAATTAGGAAAAAAATTGACGATTCAAGTATTTTCCATCTCTCCCTCGCTTTGGGGGTCTTTTTTCATATGTTAGGTATGTTAGACCTATAGTTTTGTCCCACTGGTCACTGAGGCTAGCCTCCCACTCTCGAACCTGCCTTTGCCTTCTGTGATGGGATTACAGGTGTGCTCTGCCACACCTGGCTTTTAGAACAGGTTTGTTCTACAACTAAGACATGGTCATTCTAGGGTTTCTGCTAAATACCTTAGTGATCAGTAAGGGCTCCCCACCCTCAGGGAGGAGCAATTGAAAGACTTGATCCTTGTGTGAACTCTGAACTATTCCCCTCATAGCTCTCTGGCTAGTTCTTGTTATAACCGGAAATCTCATGCTGTATACAGCACTTCAGCATTTACCAAAATGGGAAGGGTGCTCAGCATTTTGAAAGTCTGTCCCAGAACGTCCAGCCATGTCATCTTTGAGTTCCCTCATGATGTTGGGCTTTGTTCCTGGCCCCAAGCTCCTCACTCAGCTAGATGTTGGGTGGGAATTCTGCTCTTTGCTCTGAGGCTTGAAGTGTCCCCTGGCAGAAAGGGGTGGCTGTCCTAGCTGGGGTTCTCTTTATTCATTTTCTTACCAGGATCACAGGTCCACACTGCCTGTTTGGTGCTTGAAAGCATGCCTTCATTTATTTTTGTCTAGTTTTCTAATTGTTTAAGAGGATAAATTTGGTTCTTTCTTTCATCATAGCCAGAAGCTAGAGTAATATTTTAAATGTATAATATAAATATTTAGGACTAGAAAGGAAACTGATTGATTTTTTTTTTAAATACTTAAAGAAAAGATTTTTATACCTGCACTATGGGTGTATACACACACACACAATACTTAAATAACAAAATATATTGTGGAGTCTACTAATACCTCTAATTCTCTCTGAATTCTTTATCTGACTTCAGGTTAGAAACTGCTACTTTAAAATATCTAAGCTCATGTGTTCTCTGAAAAGTCTTCCTATAACTAGAGATAAGAATGTTTGAGTTTAAAGGATACTTCCTTTAGATAACAGATACAATTTACTAAATGAGAAAGGTCAAATGTAATTGTTAATCATTAACAAAAAGTTATTGATCATTATGCTTACTAAGCAATTACTGATCAATAAATGATCATTAATAACACTAAGTATTATATCAACTCATAAAATTCTAAGAACATTTTATGACCTTATGCTTGTACATTGTGTATGTGCACTTGCATGGGCCATGACGTGTGTGGAGGTCAGTGGACAACCTCATGTGTGGTCCTTCTACCTTGTTTGAGACAAAATATCTTTTGTTCACTGCACCCCAGGTTAGTGTCTGTGACCTTCAGGGGTTCTCTCCTCTCTGCCTCCATCTCTTGGTAGGGAAGTCTTAGAATTATAAATGCCTGACCTTTTGGGTGGGGTTTTTGTTGTTGTTGTTTTTAGATTTTTAAAAATTAATGAATTAATTTGGTTGTTTTGATATAAGATAGGGTCTTCTTGTAGCCCCACCTGGCCTGGAACTCACTATGTAGACTAGGCTGGCCTTGAACTCACAAACATCTGCCTACCTCTGCCTCCCAAGTGCTGGGATTAAAGTGTGCACCACCACACCCGGCTTAATTTTTAAATTTTATGTGTATGAGTATTTTGCCTAATTGAGAATTTTGTACACTCACATTGTGCAGTGCCTTTGGAGACCGGAAGAGGGCATCAGATTCCCTGGAACTTGATATTCAGATGGTTGCTAGCTGCCCTGAGGTTGTTGGGAACGGAACCTGGGTGCTTTACAAGAGCAGTTAGTACTCTAAACCTCTGAGTCATCTCTCCAGCCCCTGTTTTTTTTTTTTTTTTTTTTTTTTTTTTTTTTTTTGAGACAGGATCTTCCTGCAGCTCCAACTGGTCTGGAACTCAACTATGTAGACCAGGGTGACCTTGATCTCATAAGAGAGCTTCCTGTTTCTGCAGTGATTAAAGGCACGCTAAACCACCCCCAGCCATTGTGCATATTTTTCCTTTTGCACCTTTGCTGTTGATGCTTTTCTTTTTTGTTTTTGAGATGGGTCTCATTCTTTAGCCCAGGCTGGCTTCATACTTGGAGCGATCCTTCTGTATAAAAAGTAAACCTCCTGAGTGTTGGGATTATAGGCATGAGCTACTAGGCATGGTTCTCGTTTTTTAAATTTTTTTTTTTTATTTTTGAGATTAAGCCTTATTAATGTTACCCAAGTTAGTTTTGAATGTCTTCACTGAAGGATCCTCCTGATTATGCTTTCTAAATAACCGCTGTGGGTGCACATCACTGTACCTGGCAAAGTATGACTTTTCTTTTTGAAGATGTTCTCAGATCATTTCATAGTTCAGTAGTAACATTAACTGTGTAGTAAACAAAACTATAAAATATGGATTTATTGTTTATTGGGCCATTGGGTCCTTTTATATTGTTTTTAGTGTGAAGAGTCAGAACTTCTGTGCCATATTGAGCCTTAAAGGATTAATGTAGTTGATAGCATCATTCTCTTCCTTCATGTTAGGGCCAAGTGTGAACTTTTGTTTCACAAAGTTTTGTTTGGTCTGTGAGAACTGAGGTTTAGAGGCATGGTTTGTTCTAGACTAAAATTTATATTCAAGCAGTTGCATACTCTGAAGACAAAACCAAACATTATGTGGTGTTCAATTGCTCTTTTGGGGGAAGAGGTAAGTTTTAGAAAACAAATTATGAATAAGTGCTAAAGCAAGTAAAAATGGTTGAGTTTTCCATGTCCTCTGTGTTTCTAGGGAACCAGCTCCCCAGTGCTGCAGCCATGGAGTCCATGCTTAATAAGTTGAAGAGTACTGTCACAAAAGTGACAGCTGATGTCACTAGTGCTGTTATGGGAAATCCTGTCACTAGAGAATTTGATGTTGGTCGACACATTGCCAGCGGTGGCAATGGGCTGGCTTGGAAGATTTTTAATGGCACAAAAAAGTCAACAAAACAGGTAAGTTACTCAGGATAGTCTCCTGCAACATTAGTACAGATTGCTTTTGTAGTCATTTGCAGCTGTGTATTGCTTAATGACTAGTATATGTTCTGAGAAATATGTTGTTGATTTCTTCATTGTGGGAACATCATATA